CATGCAGAACATAGAATGGATGAACCCGGGCCTGAATGGCACACCACAAGGTCTTCAGTAAGTGAAACAAGGCAGGATTACTGACCTCCTTCAAGACCGAATGACCCAACCGCTGTGCGATATCAGCCACATAGGCGGAATCTGTGACCAAGTTGAAAGGCTCCTGGGAGAATCTTTCAAATGCCATGACAGCAGCCCTCAGTTCAACCAACTGGGCTGACCCATCCTCGTGGCCTTCCAGAACCTGCCACTCAGATCCGTCCCTCCAGGTAACAATGGCCTTCCCAGTCCTCCCTGAACCATCAGTGAAGACAGTGGGTCCTTGCACGGGTTCCTGGCTATTTTTGGGCCGCAAAGAGATTTTTGTGGATTTTGCCATATGCAGTAGACTATGGCTGGGCAGATGATAAGTGATCTGCCCTGAAAAATTTTCCAGAGCACTCTGCAGGGACACACTGTTTGCAAAGCTCCAGTCAAAATCCTCCCGTTGCACCGGGAGTATGATCTTTGCGGGATCCGCACCCATCAATTGCAAACACCGTTGCCGGCATTTGATTATCAAGCGAGCAATCAATTCAAACAACGCAGTTGCCGTCTTCTGCGGCTGATGGGGCAGGAAAACCCATTCCAAAATGTGCAATGAATCAGACCAATTGTCACTCCACTGGCCAATGATACCCGTGGGATACGAATCTGGAGTGGTGATGAACACAGTGACATCAACAGAGGGATCAATGCGATAAACTTGGCAAGCTGAAACAGCTCGCTGAACCACCTCCAATGCCTTATGTGCCTCAGGGGTCAGTGTGCGAGGTGATTTTAGATCAGCGTCTCCTTTCAACAAATCATACAGAGGAGACAGCTGCGCATCAGTTACTCCCAAATACGGACGCAACCAAGTGATGACACCCACCAATTTCTGAACATCATTCAGTGTCCTCACAGGATGCACAAATTGCACCTCCTGGTGACAGATCGTCCGTTCCAAAATTTTGACCCCCAAATACTTCCAAGGTGGTTGCTGTTGGACCTTCTCCGGAGCCACCTGCAGTCCCTGAGCATGCAAAGCATCAAGCAACCAAGGCTGAATCCTCAGCAGCTCATCCTGGGTGGACGCGGCCACCAAAATGTCATCCATATAATGATACAGACGTGCATCAGGAAACTGCTTGCGAACTCCAGACAAGGCACGGGCTACATACCACTGGCATATGGCAGGAGAATTGCGCATGCCCTGAGGCAATGTCCTCCATTGATACCTCTGTGCAGGCTCAGCCTCGTTAATTGCTGGCACTGAGAAGGCAAACTTCGGTCTGTCATCAGGATGCAAAGGAATTGTAAAGAAACAATCCTTCAGATCCACAATGAGGACCGGCCAGTCTGCAGGAAGCATGGTAGGTGATGGCATGCCCGCCTGCAATGTTCCCATGCTTTCCATCACGGCATTAACCTTTCGGAGGTCTTGCAACAACCTCCATTTCCCAGACTTCTTTTTGATGCAGAAGACAGGGGTGTTCCAGGGGCTGGTGGAAGGCTCCAGATGACCCTGGTCCAACTGCTCCTGCACCAGATTCCGAAGGGCATTCAACTTCTCTTGAGGGAGGGGCCACTGCTTTTCCCATACAGGTTTGTCAACCAGCCACCGTATAGGAGGCATAGGACACTCTGCGCCCTTCACTGCAGTGGCCCCCATCAAAAATCCGTCCCAATGCGCACCCCCCAAGCAGACAGAACATCCCTCCCCCAAAGGTTGGCAGGAGTAGAAGTAACATGAGGCCTAACCCAGGCCACCTGTCCCTCTGGGTTCGTGACCAGCACGGGCCGTTGGCTCACATAACATTGCACCGTCCCTCCCAGGCCAGCGACAGATGTCCCCACCGGATCCAAGGGCCACTCTGAGGGCCAGGTCACAAGGGAGAGAACCGTGACGTCAGCACCGCTGTCGAGAAGCCCACGAACGCGGACTTCTGGCGGCATTGCACCAGGAACAGACAGGGTGCACAGCATCTCAGGATGGTCCTTGGTCAGGACAGCAGTCCAGTGAACTTGAGGCAGCCTAGTGGAGCCAAAACCGCCAGCTCCACGCGACTGATCAGCTGACCTGCAAACAGAGGACTTGAAAGGCACAAGTTGAGCAAGCCGCGTCCCTTTCGGGATCGTGACGGGGGGGTGGGTGTGGAGACCATGGCACAAATCTGCCCCGTAAAATCCGCATCGATGAGCCCCCAGGTGCACAATGATGCCCTGAAGGGTGGCACTAGACCTCCCCATAAGGAGAGCACTCATGCCCCCACCCAAGGGACCAAAGGCATCCAGGGGAACCTTGCATATCTGAGAAGACTCTAACACAACTGTTGCTGCGGTGCAGACATCCACTCCTGCTGATCCACGGGTGCTGGCTGCAAGCCGGCAAAGGAGACCTCCATCGGCACCGGGGTCTGGAGAGAAGCTTGTGTCCGCACACGTCCCCCCTGCGTGCTCCGCTTGCCGTTTCCCGAGCCTGGCAAACCTTGGCCATTAGCATGAACAGTCGCCTTGCACACATCAGACATATGATTCGGCCTACCACACTGACCACACAAGAACATGGGGAACTTCACCTTCTGCGCTTTCTTCCCCTGCTTCTTGCCAGCCTGTGCAATCCCCCGCTGCGGCCACTTGCCCTGCGGCGCCGCCCAAACCGGCTGCACAGCGGCAGCCACGGAAGCCAACTTCCAATCCAGGGGGACGATGTCCGCACAGGCCTCCGCCATCTCAGAGACAGTAGGATCACCAGGCAGAGCCACTATGACTTTCCTACAAGCAGCATTGCAATTGCACTTGACAAGGTTCGTAATCGTAACGCTCCGTGCCACAGGATCAGGCACCTGCCTCTCCACGGATGCAATCAGCCTTTCCGCAAACGTCATGAAAGGCTCGTCATCCCCCTGGACAATGGTCGGGAACAGCGGCCTCGGAGCAGCCATTTCCAGGGTCTGAACAATCGCAGCCATGCCCAGCGAGTGGCACTGTTCAAGCACAAGGGGATCAAATCCAACCTGCCCTTGAACATTCTCATAAAGCCCTGTTCCCAGCAGCATGTCAGCGACAACCCCACGCCTGGGGTCCTGCGGACCCAGTGTAGCATTCCGCAACACCGCGTGGGCCGCCAAACGAGCCCACTTGGTTTCAAAGACACCATATTGCACAGGGTCAAAAAGAGAACGTGCCACACGACGGAGATCGTAAGGCGTCAGCCTATCTGAATCAACCCTCCGGAGAGTCCGCATAACCTCAGCGGACCCCAAACCATGCTGAGCAACTGCCTCACGGAGCTCCTTCTCCAGCTTATATGAAAGGGGTTCATGGGTGTTATGAGCAACACCCCTGAGCACAGGGAAAACCTGAGGATCCCCTGGCAAAGCCACCGCACCTGACGCTCCCTGGTCCTCAGGCCCAACAGGGGCAAAAGACGAAAATCGCCTGGGAGCCAGGCCAACACCACTCGGCCCTGGGCCCCCCGCAGCACCGGCAGAGCCAAAGGAGCCCGCCCCGCGACCCTGCAGGTGCCGCGAGGAAACAGGCTCATTCATCTCGTCAGTCTTGGTTTTCGCCTCTCGCCAAAAACGTTCGGGATGCCTGGGACGCACGGTCACCTGACAGGCAGGAAGCGTCCACAAATTCGACGAGGAAGTGCCGTGGCCCCAGGCACCCACCGGCCTCCCGCTGGCCGTGTCAACAGGTGCGCTAAAGGTAAACACCCCAGCGCCCTGTCGTGTTACAGCTCCAGCAGGGGGCGCCCCGGCGGACGCAGGTACCGTCCCGGCCCGCAAATCCGGCGTGGGCGGGGACGAGACCAGTGCGGGGCCCCGGGCCCCCGACACAGGGGAGGGACGGGACGCCGAGAGAGACACAGTCCGCGCAGCTGCGTCGCTGCGGGACGGCACCAGGGAGCCCGGCAAGCCCCCTATGAGGGTCCGTCCCAAACCACAAGACTGCCCAGCAGGTACCGCCCCCACCGAGCAGAGAGGGATGGGCTGCCCGCCCACCGGAGCAGGGCCGGACAGAACGCCGACCGACGCCCCGCCCCCGGCTGCGTCCACCGACTGCGCACGCTCAGCAGGCTGCGCCGGCCCAGGGGCGGATGACGCCCCGCCCCCGGGTGCTTCCACCGACTGCGCATGCCCAGCAGGCTGCGCAGGCCCAGGGACGGGCGAAGTCGCCCCCCCCGCCGATAAGCCCAGCTCGGAGGTGGGCGACCCCGCCCCCGCCGTGGCCAGGGGGAACTTCGTGGAAACACCGCAATTCGGACACCAGGTCGTCACCGAACCAGACTCAAGCCGAGGCGGAGGCTGGCCCTCAAGAACCGGAAAGGCACAAAGAAAAGGCAACCCGTCCCCCAGCCCACCGCCCACGCCGGGCGAAGCAGGACGAGGATGGCCCGCCGAATCCACAGAGCCCGCAGAAACCCACGGGGCTCCGCCCCCCAGCACACCGTCCAGAGGCGGGGAGGGGGACTCCACATCGGACAAAAACTCAAACTCCCCCTCCTCCACGTCCGAGGCAGAAGAGCTTCCCCGGGAACTCCGAGGGGTACAAGAGCCAGACCCCTCCCAAAGCTCCACACATCTCTTCCACTGCACCAGCAGCGGTCCCACATCTAGAGTGCAATCGTCAAAAAGGGCCTCCATGAGGCGGGTCCCCACACGAGACCACTCCTCCCTGGAGAACACCCTCTCAGGACCCGAAAGAAACCCTCGCTCCCGGGCCCACAGAAACAATCTCTCGAAGTCATCCCAGGAAAAAATCTGTTTCCACTCCAGGACCCCCCTCCAAAGATCCAAAAGGAGGAGATCCTCCTCAAAACCCACAGCGCTCGCCATTACCCCAAGAACCGCAGGCAAAGCACCAAAGAGGGGGGGGGGAAACCTCACCGCAATCTGCTGCAATACACACGTCAGGGTCACCAAATGTCGCTATAGGACACAAAAGAACACACGCTCACACCGTTCTCCAGGTGAAAGAGAGAAAAAGGGCCGTTTATTTTCTGACTCCAACATTTATAGTTTTCCAAAAGTGACAATGGATTGGAGGGTGACAGTGGCACCTCTCCAATGCCACTGGTTAAACCAACAGTCCATCAACTTTCTTCTCCTCCATAAAGGAATGCAAAACAATGAGTTATTTACAGAAAGTGTGTGAGAAAATTCACTACAAGAATGTCAACATCAGAAGGCTTAGAAAATCTTAAAAACCCAGGGTGACAGAGTAGTGAGTTGATCATTTTGCATTCCACATCCCAAAGACATTAATGACCATAACGTTAGCACAATTACTGATAGCATTCTCAAAGTGATTAAACACATCTTATCTGCAGCCTTGTTGGTTCCACAGTTTACACAGTCTGTGATTCAGGATGGATTTTCTTCACACAGGTGTAATGAATCCAGGGGTCCACGCCGGCTACTTTGACTGCTGTAAAGGTGGCCAGTAGTACCTGATGGGGTCCACTCCACTTTTCTTTCTGCGGTTCTTCGTTCCAGTTCTTGATGTACACCTCGTCTCCTGGATGTATGTTATGAACTGGGTTCTCAAGAGTCAGTGGTCTATTCCACACAAGGATGCTCCAGAGCCGAGCTAAAGTTTTCCCAAGAGACAGAACATAATTATACACTTCCTGCTTTCCTGAGATGTGTACATTAGGGTTAGGCTCAGGAGATTCATATGGTTTCCCATACAATATCTCATAAGGACTGACTGACATCCCACTCCTAGGCTTTATCTGAATCCTCAACAGTGCTATTGGCAAAGCCTGGGGCCACTGCAATTTGGCTTCTTGGCATATTTTACTGATTTGCCTTTTTAGTGTCTGATTCATCCTCTCTACCTGTCCACTCGACTGGGGTCTCCACAGTGTGTGGAGGACCCAGGTTATCCCCAGCAATCTACTTACCTCTCTTACTACTGTAGCTATGAAATGGGGCCCCCTATCTGATGATACCCCTAGGGGCACCCCGAACCTGGGAATAATCTCCTGTACAAACCACTTAACTGTTTCCTTTGCTTGGTTCCTGCAACAGGGAAGGGCTTCTGGCCACCCAGAGAATGTGTCAACCCCCACTAACAGGTATTTGTATCCTCAAGTTCTTGGCAGTTCTACAAAATCTACCTGACAATAGTCTCCTGGCTCTATTCCTATCCAAATTCTTCCTAGCTGTGCTTGTCGCCTAGCCACTGGGTTGTTTTTTAAGCAGATATCACATTTTGACAATACTGATTTTGCCATTGTTAACATCTGTACTGAAATTAAACTTTGCTTTAGCAATTTTACCAATGCCTCTGCTCCCCAGTGACATTCATTATGTTTAATTTGTAGAACTTCTCTCATTATCAAGGGGGGTAACACTATCTGTCCTTGTGCAGTCACATACCATCCTTCCGAATTCTTTTGTGCATTTAGCAAACGTGCCAGTCTCTCATCTTCTACTGAATATTTTGGTTCTGGAGGCAAATTGAATTGGGATACATTAAGCTTTAAAGGTATCAATGCCGTTGTTGTTTGCACCTCTTGAGCAACCTGTCGGGCTGTCCAGTCTGCTTTTCGATTTCCCTCACAGATTTTGGAGTTTCCTGATTGGTGTGCTTTATAGTGTATAATTGCCACTTGTTCAGGTTTTTGTACTGCTTTTATCAATTGCAGGACTGCATCCTGATGTTTAATGTGAGTACCTCGAGAAGATAGTAATCCTCTTTCTTTCCACAGTGCTCCGTGTACATGCACCACTCCAAAAGCATATTTTGAGTCAGTCCAGATATTTACCTTTTTCCCTTCACTTAATTCTAGTGCCCTGGTTAAAGCAACCAGTTCTGCCTTCTGGGCAGATGTATTTGGTGGTAATGCTTTTGCCTCCACTACTGTACTGACTGTTGTAACTGCATATCCAGCGCATCTGGTTCCATTTTCCATGAAGCTGCTCCCATCTGTAAACAGCTCCCACTCCAGTTGCTCTAGTGGGACATCTTTCAAGTCTTCTCTTGCTGAATAGGTGTATTCTATTACCTCCACACAGTCATGCTCTAATAGCCTTCTTCAGTTGCGGTACCTAGGAACAAAGCTGGATTCAAAAGGTTAGTTGTTTTTAATGTGACATCATCCTGCTCTGTCAGGACTATCTGGAGATTCATCATCCTGCTTGGGGATAGCCAATGGCCCCCCTTCTGCTCTAAGACAGTGGTTACCATGTGTGGTACATAGACATCTGTGTGTCTTCCCATAGTAAGCTTCCTGGCTTCTTGTATCAGCATCACAGTGGCTCCAATTGCTCACAGACATGAAGGCCACCCGGCACTTATGTTGTCGAGTTGTTTGGAAAAGTAGCCCACCGGCCTTTTCCAGCTTCCCAGACGTTGGGTCAGGACTCCTAGTGCTAGGCGCAGCCTTTCATGTACAAACAGCTGAAAATCTTCAGACAGATCAGGTAACCCTAATGCTGGAGCAGTTGTCAGTACTTCCTTTAATTTAGGAAGGCTTCTTTCTGCGGTTTGCCCCAGGTGAATGGCTGCGTCTTCTGAGCTTCATACAGGGGTTTCGCAATCAGTCCATAGTCCATGATCCACAGGCGCCGCCATCCTGAGGAAGACTCGCAGCTCATGTAAATTCTGGGGCTCTGGAATAGCACAAATAGCTTGGATACGGTTAGTACCTAGTTTTCATTGCCCTTGTGAAATTTCACATCCCAGGTAAATCACAGTCTGTTGGGCAATTTGTGCCTTTCCTCTGGATACTTTATAACCTCCCATTCCCAGTGAATTTAAAATCTCAATGGTTACCTTTATACAGGTTGCTTTTTCTTCTGTAGCTATTAGTATATCATCAACATATTGCAACAACAGGTATTGGTCTCTTGGTACTTGCCCATTTTCGGTCCAAATCTCCAGCTCCTTTGCCAGTTGGTTTCCGAATAGGGTGGGGGAGTTCTTTTAGCCTTGTGGAAGTTGTGTCCAGGTGAGCTGGGTCTTTCTCCCATTCCCTGGGTTTTCCCACTCACAGGCAAACAGTTTCCTACTTTCTTTGTCAAGGGGGATGCAGAAAAAGGCATCTTTTAAATCAATTACAGTAAACCACTTGTATATCTCTTTTACGGATGTTAGCAATGTGTAGGGATTTGTTACCACTGGATAAATGTCCTTTGTTTTTTTATTTATTGCTCTCAAATCCTGCACTAATCTATACTCACCATTTGGCTTCTTTACTGGAAATATTGGTGTATTAAATTCTGATTCACATTCTTCTAAAATTCGGTATTTCAAGAATTTCTCAATAATCTTTACTATTCCTTGCCATGCTTCTGGTTTTATAGGATACTGTTTGACTTGTACAGCCTGCGCCCCTTCCTTTAATTCTACATGCACTGGTTGTGCCAATTTAGATTTTCCTGGTATATCTGTCTCCCATACAGAGGGAATCACTGCATCTTCTACCTCCCTAGGGATAGAGGGAACAGGTTTTTCTTTGATCATTAATATCTGTCCCGTCTTTGATTCAGGTATTTTCATTATAAGCTCTCCATTTTCAAAGGTTATTACCACATCAAGTTTCGCTAGCAAATCTCTCCCTAAAAGCAGAATTGGACACTCAGGTACGTATAGGAATTCGTGTGTTATAACTTTGTTCCCAAAACACAAATCTAGGGGTTGCAAGAATGTCCGTTTTTCCTCTTTCCCTGTAGCGCCAACTACTGTTGTTTCCTTGTCCCCAATTTGTGCTTGCAAATCATTCAATACTGAGTAAGTAGCTCCTGTATCTATTAGAAATATGACCTCTTTATGTTCTAATTGTATATTTATAATAGGTTCCTTAACTTGTTCTACTGGTTCTATGTCTAGTCAGCTGGTATACTCCCCCAGGACCATCTCCTTGGTTACCTGCTGGAACTGATTGTCCTGGTGAAACTGGTTATTCAAGCTTGGACAATCTCGCTTCCAGTGCCCCTCCCGCTTGCAATATGCACATTGATTTAGGCTTAACCTTTGCGTGTCTGGTCTCCTATTTTGATTATTCCTGTTACGACCCCTGAAATTTGGGTTCCATTTTCCTTGTATTACTGCCAACAGATTCTGCTGCTGCCTTTTACTAGTTTCTCTTTCACGATTGTTTTATACCTTCCAAGCAACTTCAAGTAGCTTATCCAAATTCCTTAGTTCTTCCCCTTCTAATTTTTGCAATTTTCTACGAATGTCATCCTGTGATTGGCCCAAAAATATGAGAGCAAACTGAACCTTTGCTTGTTCTGTGTCCATTTGGAGATCTGTATATTTTCTTGCTACCTCCTTAAGCCTCTCCAAAATCGCAGCGGGAGATTCCTTCTTTTCCTGCCGAACTTCATATAGTTTAGACCAATTTATAGTTTTGGGCACAGCATTCTAAACTCCTATTTGGATCCACTCTTGACATTTCCGTAGTCTCCTTATATCAGTTAATAAATTAGGGTCCCAATTTGGATCCTCAGTTGGGAAATTCACATCTAAATTCCCTGTTACTAGCCCATTTCTGATATCTTCTCTTGCCCTCTCTTTGGCTGCCTTAAGTACCATCTCTTTCGCAGTAGAATCCATCAAAGTATCTAATATTACTTGTATGTCATCCCAGTCAGGATTTTGAGTTTTTATAGCCATTTTTACTACTCGTGCCATTTTATCAGGATTTTCTCTATAAGTTCCGGCTGATTGTTTCCAAATAACTAAATCTGCAGGAGAAAAAGGCACTTTTACAAATACTGGCCCTTCCACTCCTACACCTTGCCGTAAGGGGGCGATTACAGTCCGTTTTTGTCTGCCTATGTCTTTTCTATCCATAACTGGGGCAAGGTTAGACCGACTCCTGGTTCTGTGGGCTACCGCGGTCGTTGATTCTCTCTCTCTCCTTCCTGCCACAGTTAGGTTATGCTCATCTTCCGAGGAAGAGAGATCAGGTGACGATGGAAGAGGAGGATAAAGAGGAAAAGGTGTACTAGATGAGACAGGTTCAGGACTAGGTGGGGTAGGAGCAGGCAGTGGGATAGGGACAGATGGAACAGGTGGGATAGGGTTAGGTTCTCTTGTTCCTATTGGAGCTACCTGTAAATCAATATCTGTATAATTTTCCCTGCTCAGAGTTTCTTTTAATGCCAAGTGTTCTAAACAACGTTCCTCACAAACCCCACACTTATTGCTTGCAGATGTATTAACCATCATTAATCCACATTCATTCTGCCATTCTGGCTTTCCCCGTAAATAGAAAAACAAATCAACATACAGAACCTCATCCCATTTTCCTTCTTGTTTACAAAACGACATTAACTGCGAAATAGTGTTATATTGCAGAGTACCGTATTTTGGCCATTTTTCACCATTCTCCAAGGCACATTCTGGCCACCATGTATTACAATAATCAATCAACTTAGCTTTACATAATTCTTCCCCAAAATTACCCTGTTTCCAATGTGCTAATAAGCAGCCCAAAGGAGAACTTTGAGGGATAGAGGTGTTGCCACCCAAAATCCCTTTTAGTTTCTCCATTCCAAATATACCACAAATTGCCGAACCCGCAACACTTTCGCGATTGTCTTATGGAACAGCGCCTAGGCTTGTACCAACAGAAATTCCTTTAGCCCAACCAAGCGTAGCTTTCGCTGCGTCTTGTTGGAAGGCACCCAAACCAAAGTAAAAAGCACCTTACCTTTCTCCTGGGGACGTTGCAAGTGGCAGAAGCGGTCGCGGCCGATCGAGCTCCCAAAGAATCTCTCGGTGCCGGCTGGAGCGTCGTCGAGTTGCGAAACTCATTTCAGCAGCACCCGCAGGGTCCCATTTGGGGTCGCCAAAATGTTAGCGTTCAAAAACACATAATCACCTAAGCGATTACATGCGGTGCTTTTTATTGAAGAGGTCTGGGAATCGGGGTGATTTCCACCCAAATCTGATTCCGACCATACATTCGAGGTGAACGTGTTTTATACTCTATCGTTATATAACTTTCATGTTAATTATTAAACGTATATTGTTCTATTGTATACACAGATTTCAGCTAAACATAGCCCCCTTTAAATTTCCAGCATAGTTTCTCACGATTCTTCTTATGGTTATATAATAATTATATTTAATTACTAAACAATCATCACATCTAACAATTATATCATTTATCATACTGCTTATGCAGGTGCAGTGATCTGAGAAAACACATGGCCTAATATTTTCAAAGACTATTTTTAACATTTTCCAGGGCTCCACTATCAATCCCACCATGTTTCCATGATGGAAAATACATCATAGCTCTGCAGTTGCACCATGGCCTCCAGCTCTTCTTGTTTGTTGCCCAAGCTGTGTGCACTGGTATACATGCACCTCAGCTGGGCTACTGACTTCGCCCCTGACTTCTCCTTGCAACCCTTGGGCCTGCTTCCAGATAGCTCAGCTGCTTCCCCTTCCCCCTTCAAACCTAGTTTTAAGCCCTCTCAATGAGGTCTGCCAGTTCATGAGCTAAAAAGCTTTTGCCCTTAACAGAGAGATGTACCCCATCTGGTTCTAGCAGAGCAGATGCTGTACAAGTTTCCCCATGATCAAAGAATCCAAAATTTTGCTGATGACACCAACCCTTAAGCCACTTGATGATGCGGATTCTCCTGTTTCTTTCTTCATTTTCCTCCGCCACCAAAGGGTCTGAGCAGAACACTACCTGTGCTCCTGCTCTATCAACTACCTGACCCAGTACCCTGAAGTCCTTTCTAATTGCCTTGACACTCCTCTTTTCAATCTCATCACTGCCAGCCTGGAGTATCAGCAGTGGGTAATAATCAGAGGGCTGAATCAGCCCAGGAAGTCTCTCAGTGATATTTTGTACCCGGGCCCCAGGGAGGCAGCAGACCTCCCTGTAGGATGGGTCTGGTCGACATATGGGGCCCTCAGTTCCCTTCAGAAGGGAATCACCTACTACGATTACCCTTCTTTTCTTCTTGATGTTAGAGGTAGTGACCCATCTTACAGACGAATCATAATTGGGGGGGTTCTCGGGGCAGACAATTTTCTCCTAAATCATCTAGTTGGGTCTCTAGATCCAGGACCTCATACCTATTCTGAAGTGGTACCTGGGTGAAT